GATAAATCATCTATTCTACAACTGTTGGAAGTGCTGATTACAGGGCAGACTACTGCTGTCACTACATCATCATCATCTTCTGGAACACGTTGTGCAAAAAGTGTCAAATTTCTTTAAAAAAGTCTTTCTTTAAAAACAAGGTCTATTTTTTTATACCAAACTACATACAAAATTATCATTCCTAGTGCAGGGATGGCTGAACCATAACTGCATGGTTTTATAATCCTTAAGGAAAATGGCAGAATATTCCTTATAAAAGGCAAATATTTTTATTGTATTTTCCAGAGAGTTTGAGGCCCAGGGAGGAGGATTTTGATTATACCTCCAAAATATCGAGTTCCAGCCTTCTGCTAGCATTAAAAGCTGAAAACTGCACCTTCTCCAAGTAAAGCATTGCTCATCATATATCCTTTAGCCAAATGTGACAGCCTACCAAATTCACTAAAGCCAAGACAATGAGATTTCATAATACCCATTAAAATGCAAGCTTGTATATACGTCAAAGGGCAGTATTGTCTCAGTAACCTCTTTGTGTGGCATGCCTGTGTCTGAACAAGAAAAGTATTTTCTGCAGTGTGTTAAAACTGGTGCATTGCACAGATATCATCACAGGTTGGTAGCTTTTTAAGAGGAAGTGTTTAATTTCAGTGATAGCAATACTTTACATAATGGATGTAATCTGTTGGTCTTTGTACATACAGTAAATAGCTCATAGCGAAAGTAATAATTCAAATTTATTATTACTGTCTCCCTATAATAAAATAAGTGTGCTCCCCATCACTTGTGCTTTTGAGTTGTATAAATAGCAAAGTTACAGGAAAATAGCTCAGAAAAATGTAACTTCCACTTTAGGAAGTGATGAGGTGAATAAGATCTTCCAGTTGGTGATTATATCTTTAACTAGCTAAATGAATGGCCTGGATATTAATAAATCAGATCATGCAAATCCAAATAATACCACGGGTAGTCCACAGGTAGTTAGATAAGGTGTAACGTACCAGGGTCACATCATCTTTTGCACAAATTTTAATTTGTTTGCCTCCTTCCATCAAAATTTATACTTCACTGACTTATTACTGTATTAAGTTTCTCCTTAATTACTGAAGTTCAAATTTATCCCTCAAACTATGGAGGCAAAATAAGACTTTCCATAAGAAATTTGCTTAATTTAGGGAACAAGGCAGTTAGATCAAATCTTCCAGCCTACTGCCGTGTCTGTGGGCAGCAGGATCATGTCTTTGTGGTAACTCTTGTGTTTCTTAATCCTGTAGTTTCAGATTTATTCATGCTTTCCCAGAATAAAAAAGCAGCATTTCCCCCAGTCCAGAGACTACAGGAGACATATTCCTTTACATCTGCATATGGGAAGTTACATGACGTAGAAAATTACCTGAGAGCCCTTCCTTGCCTATGCGAGAATAACTTAATCTTGGTGAGTGGAGATTGTTAACCGGTAAACAATGTAGCAGTGTAACACTTTCCTTTCCTCCTCCCCTTTTCAAGCATGAAATTTGTAAGAGTTAGGCCTTTCTTAAAATAAACTTTGGATGTTAAAACTTACTTAGTTAAAGGTTATTTTAACATCCAGTAGAGGGTTACTAAATGTGGGATAAGTCTTTTATTCTGCATTAGAGAGTTTTGTTTTGTTTTGTTTTGTTTTGTTTTTTCAAAAGTAGATCTGTAAAAGTATAAATATTCTCAAAAATTATAAAAATGACTGTGCTTTTGAACATTTTGGATGCTTTTGAAAATCTCTTACTGAAGTGATGTTGATCTAATATGACTTATCTACAGGTGTTGTAATTTTTTTTTTTCTGAAAAGAGCAGTTCTGGAGATGACCAATTTTTCTGTTCAGACCCTGGCTTTAACATGGATGGTTTTAATGAATTTGTCGGTAATTGCCTACTGCAATGTTGTTTTTCTCTGGTTACCATGGAGAAAACTAATAATTTTCTTTTACTGTGAGACCTGGGAACAGTACATCAGAGCCCGTGGTAAAAGAACTAGTTCTACCTCTTGAGAATATATTAGATAGTCTAAAAAAGTAACTTAATTGCAAGAAAGAAGCCTAAAGCTTAAACCAGAAGAACCTTTCCAGGAAGCATTCTCTGTCCATTACGAACTCAGTGTTCTCAATGCAGTGGTAGGTGCAATGGCTCTTTTTTCAGTAGCACTGAAGAAAACATTGCAGACTGTCAATCATATTATCAGTTTAAAGGAAAATAAAATAAATAAATAAATAAAAGAAATGAAAGAACATGAAAATAGCAGATTCTTATTATCACTTATAGCTAAGTTTCTTCCACAGATTCACTGCATTAGACAGTCTGCGGCAGAGGTGGATACAGTGGTGCAAGCTAGACAAAACCTTTTGGTTATTTCAAATGCTAGTGCAGAAGGATAAATTAAATTTCAGAAGTCTCAGAATACCTCAGATTCAGCGTTCCCTCACTTCCCTTGTCTCTGCTCCCAGCAATCCAGCAGGACTTCAACCTGCTCCTTCCTTGTTTGAGGTAGCAATAACACTCTTGTTTCCTGCTCCCAGTTCAGGAAAAGGGCCCTGGTTCAGTGGATAATAGGTTCATAGCTGAGAAATCTTATTTCAGATGATCCTGCAAAGCATAGGTCAAATACTCAGTTGGTTAAAGCACCTAGTCCTGGGAGAATGAGAGCAGCAATAGCTTAGGTTATGGTCTGTATCCTTATCCAAATCTGACCATAAGCTGGAGAGCTTGGGCAGAGGTCACACTGCTGTAGATTTGGGGGTCGTGATGGGATAGGAACAGTTTTCAAACTCTGCAGAATCTGCCTTATACCACTTAATTTTTTCTAGTGCAGTTTCAGGCAAGTTTGTTTACTAGTGTTCTTCTTACAAGCCCTGTTTCAGGAGCAGATGATCAGTATTAGCTGCCTCATTGAAACAGTGATAAACAGCCAGTAAAATCTATTACCTTCTGACTGCACTCTCCATGTCGGTACGTGGTAGGCTTTTTTTCCTCTGAAGTTAGCCTGATCATTACTTCTCTTACGCATATATTCTCTGATCAGGGGAAGTAGTGGGAACAAACTGAACTGACAATTTGCAAAAAGCATCTGGATTTGACTGGTGTTTTCCCTTGAGGCTGAGGGTTACATGCTATGAGGGAAGAGTAAAAGGGACAAAATGAAAAATATCTAGTAAAGTTTTCTATTTCAGACTGTGATGGCTTGTATTGTCAGTTCAAGGGATGTTGGATCTGAGCTGATAACCTGTTGTTGAGACTTGGCACTAAGGACCTCAGGACTAGTGCTAAGAAAGCCATATTTTTCTTAGGTTAGTTTCCTTCATTACCCCTGGCAAAAATGTGAACAACTACAATGGGGGAGCAGTGTAAATTTACTTCACTTTTTCCCAGTAAATCTTACCACTCCATGGAATTATTTATTTGGGTTTCATTTTGGTTAAGTATGATGCACATCATGACATAAGCACTAAAGTAAATTTTAAATTAACATTCAGGACAACTATCTTGACAAACAAGACTTTTTTTTCATTAATATTAACATGTTTTGCCCAAATGTAAAGCAAACTCATGGACGTTTTTCATATGCTTTATGGATCATAAGAGTAGGGTTATTTCAATTCCCATCCATAATCATTATCATATATATTAAAATAAATTACAACATTTTTTTCTTGTTAACCTTGTCATCTTTTAAAACAATACACATTTAATACTTGAAAAAAATTAAAAGAAATGTAACTCTTTCTTTTTTTGCACACACAAACATATACATATAAAGGACATCTGCTTGCAAATAGGTTTCAGTGTGATGATATTTTAATATTTATGCACTACGGCAGTCCTTCCCCAAGCAATGAGAGACATGTCATCATATGTACTTGCCTATAGTTCAGCTGCGTCCCATAAGCTTCTTAGTCACCAGATCAGGAATTGTCATTTACTAACTATTCATATAATGCCCGGTATAATGAGACTAAAGCATTATGTGTTTTTAGGGATTAGAATAGCATAAATTAATTATTTAAGAAATATTTCCTTTTCTGAAAAAACAAAATTATTAACATGGTTATAACTTGTCCACCATCCTAACAGCTGCCTTGAAATTTCTACTCATTATTCTTGGTTAATATGTGAGTACATAATGTTGTTGACTTGCAAATACGACACATGAAATATGCAGACTTCTTTGAAGTTACAGGATTTTTTGTCTTCTACCTTTTTTCTTTTTCTCCTAGAAACTACATTGTCATATTCTTCAGCTAACTAAGCAATGGCAAATATTAAAATAATCTAGAACAGAATGTATGCCAAAAAGTGAGAAGGAACATAAATTCCTCTTGTGTTCCCCTATAGCCCTCTTAGTATAAAAAAAAAAAAACAAAACTGAATTTCTTTATCAACTTTCTGGTATAACTGAGGAATAACAGCACTGGTGTCAAGGGTATGTCTACTGATTTATATCTGCCTCACCAGAGCAGAAAAACTGTTTTCCGTCTCTTGCTCTGACACCTTTGTTTGATGCAAATTTTGATTCAAGTTTGACTAAATACAATATGAGATGAAAGTTTTCTCTTTTGTACTCTTCTATGAACTATTTAAATACAAAGGATAAAGTATCCTTAAATTTAAATTGAAAATGTGAAATGTTATTTTGCCTGTGCTAGCTATTTTCTCATTTTCTTATTGAGGCTATAAATAGATATTTCTGTTTCTGCTTGGCCTAACCACCTATCGCTAGTAAAATAGGGGAAAAAAACAAAACAAAATAAAAACAAATAAAAAAACTAAGAATCATTCAACCTGCAGATTGCTGTTGGCATCTAATTATCTGAGTAGCAAAAAATACAAAGAAGTTGATTGGTTTGTTTTGCAGGAGGTTTATTCAAGCTTCTTCTTCCCCCTTTTTAATTATTTTTTTGGCTTGAAGAGGGTTTGGCTTGAATGTCCTGCTTTGAGATACAGATTCCAAAAAACACACAAACATGCAATGAAACTAAACCAAATCAAAAGATCTTTATTTGAGATCAAAGTCTTGTGAAACAGACAAGGGAAGAGGGTAGAGCTAGAAGACAGATAAATGGAGCATGCACCACCAAACAAACTGCCGATATTCTTCTAAGCTGCCAAGAGAAATTAGGTTTGTAATTGTCATTACAGAATATAGGAACAGGGCACCCAAATTGCTTAGCTAACTTCAAAAAAAAAAAAAAAAGAATACATTATTTCAGTGATTCTCCAGGATCTAGGTCAATGACTGGTTGCTCTGGTCGATTTTTTGCCTTTTCCAGAGATATTCTTTTAACTCATATAGGAACAGTTACCATTTAAATTACAGGATGAAATAGGGTTTTTTTGTTTAGTTCTTCTTTCTTTAGCTCTATTTTTTTTTCTATTTTGCACAAACAGCAGTCACCTGGGACCTTGGAACCAGGTCTGACAGAGAGTTTCCAGTGCTTGTCCACTGTGGTATTATGGCAAAACTGCAGGAGACTGCAACTTGTAAGATACTTTTGTTACCCTAATTCTTGTATTTGAGAAGACTGGAGGTAAAGTTTAGGGAGGCGAGACAGCTTGACTATGTGTTCCTTTCCGTAAAATTTCATGTTAAACCGCATTTTGAGCCAAGAGGATGGCAACAGACAGAGCAGTCACCATGCTAGCTGACAGATAGACTAGGATCATTCAGAAAAAAAAAAAAAAAAGAATTATGTAATCTGGACAGAATAGGCTTAACCTTCCTCACTTCTTGGCATGTACATGGGGATGAGGCTGGAGGTAGAACAGACTGTGGCTTATTTACACAAACACTGCTCTCTGAAAGAAATACAAGAAGCATTGTCCAGTTGCTTACTGACTAACGGTCCCTTTCTTCACAGGATGTGCTGGCAGATTTTGTTAATAGGGGAAATGTGATGATGACATCAATTTCGAGTTCTCAATTTAAAAAATTTATTTATTTTTAAAAATGCCTAGGAACATCAGATTGTACTAACAGTTCCCTAGAGGCTCAGAATCTCTTGGTTGATTTCAGTTGTTTCTAGACCTGTTGCTTGTGTTGCCACTGAGAACATCTGTGAATGGTGAAGAAGGGGAAAACAGAATAAAAGCAATATCCTCAGTCTGAGTCTAGTTGATCTGATAGCTTGGAGGAGGCCTATCAGAAGAGAAAGCTGCCAAATTGATGAGAAAGGAAGAATAAAGAAGAAAATGTTGAGAACAAGGTGAAAATCTGAAAATATGCTAGTTACTCTTAATCTGTCCTTAGATCATTGCAAACTCTTTACTTAAGACGTTTCTGCAATGTTCTCTTTAATACATTTTTGGGTAGTCTCAACACTTATGCATTCATTTGTTGTGAAAGAGCAAGAGAATGGAGTCTTAATCTGTGGAAGCAGACTTTATATACGTGGGAGGTTCAGCACTGCTATTACAGAAATTATTGTCAGAATAATGGGGTTTCTGCCTTCTCAAATTGCTGTGCTGGTTTCAGCTTTATTTATTTTTTCCTTCTCTGCAGAATTGTTGTTGCACCTTGCAGTCCGATTGCCTTGACTGCCAGGATGGGCCTTGTGCCATTGTTCTGCCTGTACAGCCTTTGGTTGTGCATGATTGGGCAGCCAATATGCAAGTAAAAGGTGAACGTTTTCATTGTTCATTCATTCTCTTTTGGTAGCAGGCATGCACAGTCAGCCTGAATCTGAATAAATCAGCAGTGGACTCATGTGATGAAAGTCTCATCTCAGCTAGATTCCTTTCTTCTGACATGATGTTCCCTTGCAGTAAGAGAAATTGCAGCATTCCTTGATTTTTAGGACAGGCAGAGAAGTGACAAGGAATATGTAAGAGGCAGAGGAAATATTCATTTGTTCTTAAAAAAAAAAAAAGCTGCCAAAAATAAAGTGCTTATCTAGAACTGACCCTGACACTGCATTCCTTATTCACCCCAAACAACCCCACAGTGACAGCCTGTCCCAAGAAGACAAATAAAGAAAACTATGTGGAGCAAGATAAAGGTTTTTGAGCCTTGCTATCCTGACTTCAGTTAAGAGAAACCATATGCCTTGCCAAGTCTACAAAGAAATACGTAGACTGCAAAAGTAGAGCGTAGCTAGAGACAGAGAGCAAATACTGATTCTTAAAACTGAATACTGATTGACATCAGTGCAATACAGGCAATGCTGATAGTCTGCAAGGTGGTGCTCTGCATGAGCAGGTGTTGGTTGCATCACCAGAACATAGTCCACTTAGTTAGGTAAGGACACTACTGCTTAAAAAACATTGCAGCACACTAACAGTGCAATCACTTTTTAGTGTTATTCTGAGAGAAGAGGGAAATCAGTAGTTCATAACTAATCCTAAAAGCAAATTTTTTCCAGGTTAGTTTTGCCAGGTTAGTTTTTGAAAACTATTATTTTGTACTGTGTTATATAGTATAAGCAGAAACAATCCACTGCATCTCTCAAGATTTTAGGAGAATTTTTGCTTCTAACATTGATAACATTTAACATGAAATCACTGGCGGGGAAGTAAATTACTAACTGAAAAATGACAATTAAAAGGGAAAGGCACATGCAAATTTCCTCAGCAGTATCCATACACCTTTCCTTCTCGTCATGGGTTTCTTAACTCTCCACATTAAGGCAAAGTCATTAGGGCTTCAGTAGGATAGTTATTACTACAACAAAAATAAATTCTATGGTGTTAGTCAAGGGTATTCTATTTCATTCTATAAACTCTTAAAGAATAAAAATGATTAGTATCAAGCCTCTCCATGACTCTCTAAAATATCTAGTTCAGACCATCAAAAAAAGAAAATAAGAAAAAGTAACAGACCTTACATCTTTGTCTGTCTGATGGCCTAAAATGGAGCAATAAGACAAAGATTAGTCACTAAGAGCAATAGAGCGAGATTCTCAAAACTGCCTAGACCTTGGGTCCTACAGCTATATTAGGTATATACTTGAGGAGCATATATGGATCCTACAGCTTTTGGCATATTCCTCTTGGTAGTAGTGGGACATTTTTAGTTTTAGCTTAGAAGATCTCTGGCAAAAGTATGGATAATATTTTTAGAATCACCTAAGTCCCACTACAAGTCAGTCTGACTTCAGGTTCAAAGTTCTGAAATTTAATTTTAAGCTTGACACAGGCTCTTACATCACATAAATCTGAACCTTTGATCTTGCAACATTCTCATATTATTTCTGGCTAATCGCACATATGGTCATTATTATTCTTTCTCCAGGCTATTCCAATTATTTGTAAACTGCATTTGCTACCAAACACCTACCATACATCTACGGCTCATAATTACTAGGAAATTGAAAGATGGATAAACAACTTCTTATCTTCCCATTGCTAAGAGTTTCAAAATACAAATATTCTAAAATATCCCTTAATGCCAAAAGTACAGTGGGTGAAAAGCAAAGTTTCAGCTGAGTCTTTCATGGGTTTGTTTAGAAGCATAACACAAAAACCAATTATTCATACTGAACTAATGTTACACTTCTGTATTTTTTCCATTATAAAAACAAAAAAAACCAAAAACAAAAACAAACAAACATAAAAACATCCATCCTCCTAAAACCTGGAAAGAATTATCCCTCTTCCTCTCAGATGCTGCCCCTGAAAAAAAACATAACCATATAGTTATTAAAATGGCACCAGAAATAGCTGAAGTGATTTCTCTTGGAAATTTTCTTTGTGTTTGTATGTTATTTATAAAAATATAGGATGAGAATGACAGTGACTAGAAGTTCACTACAGCAGGCAGTATGTCAGCCTTTTTTAGGATCTCATATTTTAAAAATTACTTTGATATCATAATCCTCATATTATGCATGGAAAACCCTAGTTTATTAGCATTGGAGAAGAGTTCATTTCTATTAGCAGAGCTTCTGTATGTTTTAATCCACTCCTATAATTAGTAATGTGACCATGTTTCCTAAGGAGTATGCAGAATGCATTACCTTGTTTCTTTTTGCCCTGTACGCATTACATTTTTAACAATGACTTTGCAGTTAAAATTGGGCATTAAAAACAGATCTCCCTCATCAAGGTAGAACTTGACCCCTCTATGCCAGCAACGTCTAGCAGATTGACTTCCCTTGGTGACGCTCAGGGCTTTGTTACAGTAAACTGGTCCAGTGTGATATCACAGATATAAAAACTATTCCATTCTGTATCAAAACTAGGCACATGCCTTATATTTATATGAAGAGAAGATCAACATAACTGAGCATTTTTGCTCTCAACTATTCATCTCTGGACTTTTACATGAGGATAAAAATATGTTATTTCTAATTGGTAACTATAGGCGTGTAATTTGAGTTAGATGGTGTTTAAAAGGAGGATGACATCACACTTGGGTCAGTATTGGTGGAATATCTAAAAGCACAACCTGTCATTTGTATTGCTTTAAATGTACACAGTATAGATGTATATTAAAAAAACATAAAACAAAAAATTATCTTTTTTTCTGGTGTTGAACCAACTAGAAGGTGTGATGCAAGGCTTCACCAAATGAGATCTATAGATACAAATTTCACTGTAGAGTATGCTGTAGACAAATGTGTCTTTTTCTTTAAATATGTAAATCCTACACTGTAGGCTTTTTTTCTTTGTCTTTTTGTAGTGGTAGAAAATGTTGAACAGTTGTCCATGAGCATGAGCCAACAGCTCATTACTAATATCCCCAGATCATTACTAATATCCCCAGAATGCAAATATTTGCAATGCAAACAATTAGTACAATTTATCAGTTCTGTGAAAGGCCCTGACATATCTGCCTCAAGGTTTGGAGGCTCTGCTTTACAGCCACAAGTAGTCTTTCAATTTTCACATAATCATTTGAAACAGTGACAGCTGCATTAAGCTGCCTCTGCCCAGCAATTCTGCATGCCAGGCTGGTTTAATTGGTTATAATGCCACAGAAAAAGCACTGCTAGCAGAAGACCATCAAATCATTTTCATATTGAACCTTCGTGGTCCAGCAACCTCCCCTTCAACTACAGCACCATTGTTTTTGCGGGGAACATATTCAAGGTCAATGCTGGTTTTGTGCTTGCCTTTCCCTCGGCTCCACACAAAAAGAAGTAGGAAACAAAATAAAACCACTCCAAGGAACGTGAAACAGCCCATAGCTGTGGACACCAATATTGTCTTAAGGTCCAGAGAGAAGGTGTTCACATTAGTTCCATTGGAACTGGTGTCATTGGAGTCTGTCATATACATAGGGGTCCTGTTGGCATAAAGGAAACGGTCTGATGCAAACCCTTTCACCGTAAGGGAGGCTGAATAGGTGTCATTCCCAGCTGCATTACTTGCAATACAAACATAGATCCCTGTGTCTTGGTCTTGAGCAAATCTGATTTCCAGTGTTCCATCTCCCAGCACTGTGGCTCTTCCATTTGATTTAGTTGTGATCAGCCTCCGACGTGGGGTAACCCAGGATATGGTAGGCTGAGGATCCCCATCAGCATTGCAAATCAACTGCACTGTCTGTCCTTCTTCTACTACCAGGTATTGCAACTTCTTGTCTTGTATCTTGGGCTTCTTGCAGGTGAAGTAAAAGGAAAGAGCTGTGCTGTGAAAGTCTTTGAATGATCTCTCTTTGACACTGTCTGGGCCAGCACACATTGGTGGCTGGCCTCCAAACTGCAAAGTAGGCTGCCTTTGTAAAATCCAAAGGAGGCGGCAATCACAAGCCAAAGGGTTGTTGTTAATGCAGAGGATCTCAAGGGTCTTGGGGGAATGGAATACATTCTCTTCTATGGTTTCTAGCAGGTTTTGGGAAACATTAAGCACACGGAGGAATTGGAGCCCTTGGAAAGCATGTGGTTCAATGGTACGTAACTGGGCCCCCACCATGTGGAGTTCCTGCAGACGCACTAAATCTGAAAACATGCCTGTCTCGATGGTGCTAATAGGGTTGTAGGAGAGGTTTAGGTGTGTCAGGTAAACCAAATGTTTAAAAGCAGAGTAAGGTACTGCAGATAGATTGGTGTTGGTGATGGAGAGAGAAGTAAGATTGAGACCATACAGGCTGTTGGCAGGCAGCATGTCCAGGAGGGGCCAGGAGTCTATCTCCAGGTCTTTCAGGCGAAACAATCTTTTAAAGGCATATGCAGGCAAAGCATTAATGTTGAGCTGTCTCAGATGCAGACTGATGAGGCCATGAAGGTGAGAAAGAGCTTCTGTTGGTACAGCCGTGAGGTTGCATCTCTCCAGGGTGAGCTGCTCCAGGCTAAGCAGTCCGCTAAAGGCTCTGTGGGATATATAAACCAAATCATTGTCCCCAACCTCCAGAGATTTTAGGTTATGCAGATCTTGGAACATGTAGTCCAGCAAAATGACAATCTTGTTTTCACTTATATCAAGCTTTGTTAAGTTTGACAACCCCGTGAACACCCCTAGGGGGACCAGCTTTAGTCGGTTTCCTTTCAGTTTCAGGGACCGCAAGTTGAAGAGATTGTTAAAGGCTCCGGGCTCTACATTGGCGACTATATTGTCACTGAGGTCGATCTCCTCCAGCAAAGGGTATGATGTGAATTCCTCAGGGTTGACACCCTTCAGTCGGTTCTTGCTGAGGTCCAGGATTTTGGTCTCAATGGGAATGCCCTCTGGGATAGACATGAGGCGCCTTCGGTGACAGCTGACGGACTTGTTCTGTGCTGAGCATTCACAGCGGGCCGGACAGCCTATGGTCGGGCCCATAAAAACTAGTAGCACAGCCAGACCCAGGAATGGCTGCCAGCATGATGTAGCCATGTGAAGCATGACTCCACTGATGTGGTCTAACTGTCGGTCACGTGCCTGTAAGGGTGAAGACGGGAAAGGGGAGAAGTTAAATCTGCAGCAGAAGAAAGTCTCTGTCAAATTTTAAGTACCATTTCAAAGTAGGTGCTTGTTTTTTCATTTGAAACAAAACAACACAACCTGTTTCAAATGGCAACAACAACAAAAAAGTGGATTTTCTTTTTGTGTCATTGGGCATGTCAAAGGATCTGTTTTTCCAGCATTTCCCCTCCAGATGTCTCATTTCCTACTCCAAACAGTAATGGAGGTTAGTATTTTTTACTCACGCTTTATGGGTCTCTACATGACAGTCCAACAGCTAAAGTGGAGATAAACACTCTGCAATCTGCAAATGGGGCTAATCATGCTTATATTTTTACGGCATTGGGCCTCTGTGAGATGACATGAACCTAAACTTGTCTTTGCTGTTCACTTCAGTATTTTAAGATAAACCTTAACAACTGATACCTTCAGGAAAAAAGAGTTCCTTGACAATGAAAAGATTCTTTTTAACATTTATTGCAGACATTAAAGCTATAAATAGGTGATGCTTGTTCACATATGCACACACACAATGGTTTAGATGAGGAAAGAGGAACCGGTGAACATCTAATTAGAATTTGTACTAAGCACAAGCTGATTCTTTGCTTTTAATATACAGAAGAGATTTTATGTGATTTGGGAATGAGTGACCTGACAAGGGTTTATAGAATAGATCTTTCTACTTTCAAGGCATATAAGATGGTTGTGATGACCAAAAAAAAAAAAAAATCACCAGATGAGTTGATTTTGTTTAAGGAGCACACAGTCCAAAGGAGTACACAGATCGTTTGGAAGTCATTGTTAATACAAGATTTCTTTATTCCTACCTTTGTTTTTAAACTGAGGATAGTATAAAACAGGATAGCCTCTACTGAACTCAATTACCATGAACCCAGACAATACTTTACAAGTTTAGTCACCAAAGGTGAGATGCTTTTGTAAGGGTGCCTACTAAACAGAGATGCTCAATAACTCACCAAAAGAAAAAAAAAATTGTAGATGCTCATCAAAGTGCTAGTCTTAGGATTCAGGATTCATGATATAAGATACCTCAGGCCTTCTGAGGCCTTTTCTAGATTTGGCTAATCTGTGCTTGGCGAATTTGGGCTTGATTTTAGCTGTATCTGCAAAATTGTTTACATAACTTCTGCCTGCAACTTCCTCTAAGGTCAGATCATTATTACGCAGCTGGTCCTACTCATAATGACAAAAATACCAAATCAGCTGACCAGCCAGTTTTACCTATTTTCACTAAATCATCTGACTACTGCTTAAGATTTTAACCTAGATTTCAGTCAAGTTTGTTTTTTTTTTTTTTTGTAAGCATGGGGATTATATCCTGAAAGAAAGCCTCCTATACACAGAAAACAATTCATAGATTTAAGCAATTCTTGTATAACAAAATTTATAAGCAATGAGAAAGCAGTGTCAGTAAATAAATGATTTGAAATACGTATAGAAAAAATATCCTGAATGAATCCCAGACTTAGAAGAAGATATTCCCACCACTGACTGTGTTGTAACAACACTGTACTCCAGCAAATAGCTTGGAATTTGACAACTTACCTCCCTGCCTAAGGGAGGATGGTTCTACATCTCAGACTGTGGATGATGAGAACTGTGAGAACTGAACAACACGAAGAAGAGAAGATACTTGCATCTACTGATTTTATTGTAACGTTAATGATCCTTAATAGAAACTGGGTGATTTAGATTGCAAGTGTTAGCATTTTTGTAACTGAACAAAACAATAAATAGGTCTTGTGTTTTGATTATACTATTATAAACTTAACTTAGCTAACAATGAATTCCCCCAGAGCTGCATAGAAGATGTGTTGTTGAATGAATAAATGGTGCACCTAACACTCCTTTCATAACTCTAAGAAAGAGTCTCACTCTTGACCTATGTGGCCTTTTCATTCCATTCAGATGCTTTTACGAAGAAACTGATAATACGAGTTAAATTGCATGCTGGTTTTGTGATGTAGCCTGGAGACTTGGATATAGGCTATTCTTTATTATGCTGCCTGTAAAAACACATTTCAGCTTTGTTCTAGAAGGGAAAACTGCTGAGATTCATTTAGTTGCTCCCTTAAATTGAAGTCTTGCAAGTAGTAACGTTCAAGTTTTGCTAGTTATGCCCAGCTGTGACAAAGATTTTCAGGGATAAACCTCACTTTACCAGGCACTAAGTTAAAACTAGAAATCTATAGGGGCCTATGATTAGATGTTTGCACTAAATTTTGATCAAAGGGGCTTTCAGGTGCTCTGACCATGATTTTTAGAACTCAGTCTGTGAGGTTAGCATTTTCCTACTGATACTTCTGGCATGCAGGGAATTCATTCCCCATCTTATTCACTTAATGTGCAAAACATAAAGTAGACACGTTCAGTGGAAGACAAGCACAGCTGGAATGTTCATTTTAGATGGCAAAAGTATGAAACGCTTTTTTGCAGCTATCCAAGCCACTTGGTAAGTAAAACTAAAAGTAGACGGTGTACACCCTCTTTATTATACCTTATATTATTTAAATAATATAAAATAATTTTTTTCATTGTGGCTGGAATAAAGAAAGATTGTGCTAATAAAACATTTCAAATATCAAGAGTTTCCTTCTGCAAGCATATGTGGAGACAGAGAGGGATGTGTATTCAGCGTGGGGTGTGTGTGTGTGTGTGTGTGTGTACATGAGTGTATGTGTTTGCATGTGAGTAAGATTCAGAACTGAGGTCTAAATTGAGTAAATTACACATTAATAAGTGGTTATAATGAATGACAAGTCAGAAAAACAAAGATTACTTGAATCAATATTTAAATATAAGAAGAAAATATAAATTAAATGGATCATTTCAGCTTTTACTGACTGAGGTGCTAATAGCATGTTCATCATATGCCACACCTCCTGCTAATTGCATTTTTGACTACACCTTTAGCTTTGAACTACTTTGTGCATAAACGATTTCATCTTCACTAAGCAAAAAAAATGTTATCATATTCCAGATACTTACATAAATAACTAGCAAAAGGTTAAAAAAAAAGAATATTCTCATGGGCAGCTTAAAGATACTGACTGTTTGCAGGACAAGGTGAATGTTGGGAGAAGCCTATAGTGAACTTTGACCAGCTACTGCTTAGGCTCCTACTTGAATCTAATGACTTTTAAGCTGTACTTTCAGAACAGGCTTGTAACATCACTAACGGGGACTTCCATGGGCCCTCAGTGGTAGAACATTTTAAAGGCATGCATCTTTGTCCTTGAGGTAGATTGTGTGCCAGTGTGAACACCATTGAATACTATTATTTATCTACTAAACATCAATACTACTATTTAAAAATAGTTTGAAATTTTGCCATTAAATGATAGCTTTCCCTGAAAGAGTTTTTTTCTTTTATTTTCTTTTTTTTTTAAGCTGCCTATACATTTAAAAGTAGTTCACAGTTGTTTAGATTTCTAGGATCCTTATTTATTGGCAACTTTCAACACAGTTAATAACTAGCAACAAACAGTTGTTACAGTTGAACTGTCAGTGTGGCTGTCCGAAACAGCATCTTTCATCCCAGTTTAAACAACTAGTACTTACATACTTTACCCTTTGCCAGTCTAGCAATTTCCTTTAAATGTCTGCAGGATTATCTTATTATCTTTCTTTATATCCATCTCTAAATTTTTTCTTCATTGTAATACGTACAACAAAGTAATCAGCTTTGATACACTTCAAGTAATGAAATATGTCAATGAATTCTTCATTAAATAAGCAAAATTAATTAATTTTCTCCTTTTTCTTGTGTTTCTCTGGCTCTTTTGATAAGTCCATTGTCAAAAGTCAAGTTACTGCTGGTGGCTATCCTCTTGCAACACAAGACCTCACTCAGAGTTCAGCCATCCCATTAAGAATTAAGAAAGATTATTAAGCTCATTATTAGTTAACAGTTCTGTGTAATCTCACTCAAAACAGTCATCCTTACTGCTTTGAAATGTAAATCATTTTGCAAAAAATTCTGCAGCTTTGTATCTATTCTCTATTTGCAAGTGCTTTACAAGAACATGCACATATACTCCATAGTTTTTAAAATGAAAAAAAATTAAATTAAAAAAAAAAGTACCACAGTGCTCACTCAAAATACTGTGCAGTTCTGATATCATACAGAGGAATGTGTCAAGCCATACATATAAGCTATATATTGTATAATTTTTCCTTCTCTCTTAGTCTAATTTTGAAGCCTTTATACTGAAGAGCTCAAGTGTGTCTAACCGGGCTCCCCTCTTTGTCTGATACAGTACTGTGCAGCAGCAGGCTTTAGCCAGAAAAGTTGAAAGCCAGAAGACTTGTTCTACTTTTAACCACATATATTTGATGCTCTGAATTAGTAGTTTTGACACACACACACATACACACACACACTCCTTCCCTTCCCTTCCTAACAGCCTTTTGGACAGTAGAAAATCTACCTGATAATGTTAGAAATGATAATTCTGCCTAAAGTTAAGGTCACCTATGCTTCCTCTTTTAATGCTCCCTTTTCAGAAACTTGTAACTCTATTGAATACAACTTCTGGGAGTATGCAAGTAAATTATGGTCTATTAATTCGCCTGCCTCTTCCATTGAATCGGTTTTGTTTCTGCAGAGATTTTGTTCTCCCTTCTTTCATTGATGTCCTAAATACCTCAGTTTTTGAATAAATAAGCTGCAAAACATTAAGTAGCTCTCTGTATCTATTCCAATAATTAATACATTGGAAGAAACCTCACAGCAACAACAACAACAAATAAAAACAGTTTTTTGATTCACTCATATTTGAAACACAATATTAATTCAATCATTCTGAAGTCCTGGGATCATTCTCCACCACTAACTTGTCAGGAAAAACTTTATAGGCTAACATAAACTCACAGGCCATAGTCATCTTACATTTGTTGTCATAGGAATTATTAACTTGTTACTAGTAGTACTCTGGTAATGCGCCTAAGACATA